GGAGAGAGAGAGAGAGAGAGAGAGAGAGAGCAGAACAGAACTTAACGGAGAGAAAAGAACATGAAGTAAACCGCAACAGGAAAGGAGGATATCTACATTAATGGCAACCCGAATGTCAACTGAATTCAACAGAACAACAAGTGTCGGAAACAAGGACCAAGAAGAAGATGAAAGTGAGGTGATGTTCTTCAAGATTCTCCGACTTCTCATTCTTCTATTCCCTTTTTAACTCTCCAAACCTCCATGGGAGACAGATATCATGAGGGGAGTGATTGAGGAAATCTGATATATATACATATATGCAAAAAAGTAGCCGAAAATTTCTGCTTTAATCAGAATCCTCGTAAGCCTCCCCGTCCGATAATTCATCAAAGGACCTTATGTCAAGCTGGTATCGAAGCATCCCGCCAAACCCTCTGCAGAATTGCTACCCTTCCTGGGATTTGTTGGTGACAAACTCCAGAGAGCAACCGAAACGTCTGTACTCATTGGTGAACCATTCGAGCAGAGGCATTTTCCCCTCAACTTCCAACTCCGCATTGGTGGTCGGGTCGCCGAAGTTGCTTTGATCAGATTCTTGATCCTTGTTCAAGTGCTTCACCGTTATTTCCCCGGTTGAACGGTTCTTGATCACATACCTGCTCACATCAAGATTCTCCCACACTATAAGTGTCTCCACAGCGCCCATTTCGAGAGCCTTTAAAGTGTCGTCTACTCCAAAGACATATTTCCCGGTGTCTTGACTGATTTCCTCAAAGAACTTCCCGATCAGACGCTTTTCCTGTATGAACTTCACGTTGGACAGTATCTCAGCAGACAGCTCGATTGCTTGGTTGAATCCATTTTCCCCTCCGTAGGAGACATCAACCACGTTCAATATCTTAGCTTGGAGACGAGGATCAAACATGTCCGATTGGCTGAGCTCTGTCTTAAAATCAGCTGAACCGGCTAGAATGAGACCAGCGACATTGGGTTGACTCGTGGCCGGGTTTATGAAGAACTGAGTGGCAAGCTCTGCGGTCTTCCATGTTTTTTCGGGAGATCGACAGTAAATTTGTGAAGGGCTTCCCTTTTATTCCCGCTCGATGTGCCGAACAGGGTACCGTTTCCATCCATGACAATGAAACCAAACTTGTCATCCGACTCGAGAAGCTCGTTCAAAGCTTCGGTGTGAAACTTGTTATCACAGAGGTACAACGAAGCATTTATCGGCCTGAAGGGCTCAAAGTCGATAGTAACTTTCTTTTCGTTGCCATCTTCGGTAACAATGGTGCCGGTGTAAAGAACAAGGCCATTGGGAGGGACCTTGTTGTAAAGTTTCAATCTTTGCTGAGCAGATGTAATTGCAGACAGGACAGACTGACAGTTCACTCATCCATAAGCATCTTCGTGACACGGGATATCTGATCGCGAGGAGGCATTATAAGAAAAATCATACTGGTTCCATTACCTCTGGCAGATTCGAGGGCCTTGATTAGTTTCTTGATTTTCCAAATCTTGATGTTCTTATCGGATTCTTGGTCAGCCATATCACCAAGCTTAGAGGTGGAATCAGAGAATGACCTGCCAACAAAGGAAAGTTCGGACACTGAGAAACGAGAAATCTAAGTTGTATTTACTATTTATGTCCCTCTGGAGCATAATGAAGTTCGGACACAAACCCAACAGATGGGTCAATTGAAGTCACCCCAAAATCGAATTGATCCAAAAGGATCCAGATTTCGAAGAAAAATCCACAAGGGAACGGAAAAAAGCAGAGATTTGAAGAGATCAGAGGTCAAATAAGAACAGGACTGATCACCGATAAGCAGAGAGATCAGAATCTTGGAAGCAAACTTACCTTTATCTCCTGAACCAATCATCGTCTCCCCCAGCAGCCTTTCCCCCCTTTCCCCTTTTCTACCGAGTCCCCACCTCCACTCAACCCCTTTCAGGTCACGTAGCCTCAGACACCAAGTAGATAGAACTCCAGTTCACTCGCGCCACTAGATCGTGTTCCTGTCTCTTTCTTCACTGTTTCTAGTGATTTCCTTTTCTTTTTTCGGTTTATCCCCATACTTAGGTTCTTCACTTTACATGCTCAAAATGTGCAAATCTATAAGAACAAAGAACACAATCCAAGCTTTCCATCCAATGTTTTCCGATTTACACGCCAATTCTGAAAATGTATACACGGTTACGGTCACCTGTATTGATCACAAACCCCACCAGCCAGATTAAAACACTACATTCCCATGAGAGATTACACATATGCAAGCATTTGGCTGTGTGATCCGCCATTGTAGAGACTAAGCTGGTATATTGCTTTGGACACAAGTTCTTTGAACTCGACATTCTGGAAACCCACCACTCGATCAGCCCCTTCGAGCGCTGCAGTCAAAACCTTGGCTTGCTCAAGGCAATCATGGTTGCTAGCATTCAGGGCAAGATAGCAGAGCAGAATCAGGCATTGTAGCTGAACTTTCTGATCGCTGTTCCTTATCAATTTCATCGCCGATGGGATTGCCCCGAACTCGATTATAGTTTTCGAGTGCTCAGCGCAGAGAAAGTTCTCGGGAGAGGCAAATTTCTGAAGCGAAACCACAGCTTCCATGGCCACTTCCTGATTGGCACTACCAAGTTTCATGACCAAAGGCCCGATTATTCTCGTCTCCCTTGCAGGGAATGTCCGAGCCAATGACCCGATTGATCTAATTGCAGGGATTTGCAGTGTGGGGCTATCCACTTCTTTGAGTATCCGTAGCATCTGGTCGACAACAGCCTTTGCAGCCGGGGAATTGGTTTTGAAAGCAGCACGTCTAAGGTCTGCATTCAATTCTGCAGAAGCTGTTATTTCCGTAAGAGCCATCATGCAATTGTATTGCAAGTCTCCAACTTCCTTCTCCACTAACTTTGCCAAAGAAAGTAACCCTTTTGTCTCGGTTATTCTCCGACTATTCGCAACATTCCCCCTAGCAAGCATCCATAGAGCTTCGGCACAACTAACCTTAAGCTCATGTTTCAACTCAGGATTCTCATTCTCCCTCTCCTTCTTGTGATAAGGCCCGGTTCTACTACCAGTTCCGCCACCAGTATCACGGTATAGACTTAATGAGCTCGTATATGACTTGTAACTCTTATGTGATTGATCTCTCCCGATTTCTTTGTTCATCTGCACAAGAGAGGGAATGCTGTTGTGCTTACTCGATTGCATATCATCAAGAAACACGTCCAGTGAAAGCAGTGTGACCAAAGGCTTAATCACGCTTTGCCGGGCAAACTCGTCCTGAGCTACAGCATCATGCTCTGCCATTCTTGCCACTAAATTAGCCACCTTTATCTGGACCCTAATCGGAGAATCACCCAGAACTTGAACTATGATGGGAACACCGAGCTCGTTAACAATGGCCGTTACCTTATCCTGGTCTGAAGCCAAAAACCCCAACGTCGTTGCCGCCGCTATCTGCGCATCCGCCGACGAGCTCTCCTTCAGTAGCTTCAGCAGCGGAGGAACACCGCCTTCATCCACGATGATCTTCTTGTTCCTGTCGTTGTCTCCCGCGAGCGAACCAAGCTGGTTCGCGGCGTCGATTTTGTCCTGCAACCGACCCATCTGAATCGACGCAATCAACGACCACACCCACGGGAGAATCGGGTCGTTCGTGGCGATCGGAGGAAGAGAGATGCTAATTCCTCCGCCGAAACTCCCGTCTCCGTCGGAATCGAACACGCTGAGAAGCCATTTCACATCGCCGTTGGAAGATTCCAGCAGATTAATCACCTTGCGGAAATCGGCGGCGTTCGTGATAGAGCAAACCCGCCGGATTATACTGTGCCGCTTGCACTTTCGAACCAGAGCCAAAGCTCGCTCCAGATTCTTCCGAACCTCGACGACGACGCGGCGAATCGGTCGGTCGTAAATCTGTACGGAACCGGAGACGAGACGGGCAAGGGTTCTGAGCATCTGGGCAAGCCGATCCACCTGCTTTCCGACTTCACCGCACTCCGCCTTGAACGACTCAGCCTCGTCGGCCGCCGCACGGAGGCTCTCCGCCGTCAGGAGAGAGAACGAGAGCTCGTCTCCGATTCGTCTAACCTCTTCCATGGAAATCTAGAAATCTCCGCGACTCAGACTGAAGATTTCCAGGGATTTAAGCGACAGTGGTCTTCTTCTTCTTGGTTTGTTCGTCTTCTTGGCATGTTCTTTATCTCCTCGAATGTCTTCGCCGTGAAGGTTACGTCCAATACTGGTAACTGGTAAGCTTTGTTTTTAATGTTTTTGCAATCTGCGGAAAAATGCTGCGAAGGATACACCAATATTTTTGAATGGAGATGGCCTTTTATTTTGGTTTTTGGTTTTAGTTTTTGGATTTTGCTTTTTAAATTTTGGTTTTTGGCTTTTAGATTTTATAATATTTGAAAACTCACAAAAAGTAACTTTTGGTTTTTTATTGATTTTTTTACAAATGGCTTTCCAAGTTTTTTTCTTTTTTTAGGAAAAATAATTTTATAAAAACTTGAATGTTGTTTTTTTTTAGTTTTTGGATTCTGAAAACTCCAAAAACTTCTACCATTCAAGGTCCAAATGTTGACGACCGATGTGGTAAACGGAATCTTCAGATTTACTACAAATGCTTTCCTAATTAATCTAATCTCTTTGGTAACCCTGTCACCCTTGATTTTTTTTATGTGACATTTTTATTATTATTATACAGATTTTTTCATCCAAAAAAATTATACTACATGTTATTTGTATTTATTATTATTTGCATATCTAATATTTAATGTGTATCTGTCATAAAACACCCAATATGGACGGGAAAGAAAGAATCAAAATAACACGTCTTGAAAGCCTTACAAGAAAATATTTAGACAGATGTTTGTCATTCTGTGCGGTTCCAAAACAAGAAAATAAATTATAACCGTAATTTTAAGGTAAATAAATTCAGATAGGACCAAGCAAAGCAATCAGCGCCAAATGGAAATGGACATTAATTAATTGGGTGTGTGTGTGTGTGAATTAAATTAAGGTAAAATTGAGCAATCACCTCCAAAAGGACGTTAATTAATCAATCGACATTGCAAATTCTCAACTCATTCCAGAGACTTTCTCCCTACCTCGTCTTCTCTCTCTCTCTCTCTCTCTCTCTCTCTCTGATGGAGAAGAAAGACGTGAATGAGCCACTTCTGTTGTCGGCGGCGGAGCAGAGCAGAGGCTCCGCCGTGTCCCTAACCTCCTCAATCGGAGACGCCGACATAGGTCCGATCTCCGGCGTCGGAGACTTCGCAAGGGAGTTCAACGTAGAGTCGAAGAAGCTGTGGTCTCTTGCGGGGCCCGCAATCTTGACGTGTGTGAGTCAGTACTCACTCGGAGCAGTGACTCAGGTCTTCGCCGGACACATCAGCACCCTCTCCCTCGCCGCCGTCTCCATCGAAAACTCCGTCATCTCCGGCTTCTCCTTCGGCATCATGGTATGGCTCCTCTCGTCACCTCTGCCTTTTTTTCAAAAAAAAAAAGATTCCAACTTTACGAATTATACTGGTTGAAAAAATTATGTGCCGCAACCCTTTTACCCATTAAGTACAAAAACTCGTAGATTTTAGTCAATCTTGTTAATAAAACATACTGTTTCCGATGAAACTGAAGCTGATGTACATTGCGACCGCGTTTGCGTTGTGATCAGCTGGGGATGGGAAGCGCGTTGGAAACGCTATGTGGACAAGCGTTTGGAGCCGGCAAGCTGTCGATGCTCGGACTATACCTGCAACGCTCGTGGGTGATCCTACACGCAACCGCGATTGTCCTCTGCCTCATGTACGTCTTCGCAACGCCGTTTTTAGCGTTCATCGGACAAACGCCGAATATCTCCCGAGCTGCCGGCCTCTTCTCCCTCTACATGATCCCGCAGCTCTTCGCCTACGCCCTCAACTTCCCGGCGTCGAAGTTCTTGCAATCTCAGAGCAAGATGGCAGTCATGGCGGTGATCTCGGCGGCGGCGCTTGTGCTCCACGCGCTGTTCAGCTGGGTGGCCGTGGCTATTCTTCGGTGGGGGCTGGAGGGCTTGGCGGTGGCGCTGAACGGGTCGTGGTGGTTCATCGCCGTGGGTCAGATCGTTTACATACTGTGCGGCACGTGCGGCGAGGCTTGGACGGGCTTATCTTGGGAGGCGTTCCACCATCTTTGGAGCTTCGTTAGGTTGTCTCTTGCCTCTGCTGTCATGCTCTGGTGAGTCTCTTCTTTTACATATTTCGTGACCGTATCCTGCCTTAGTAAATTGGTTTTCGATAGTTTTGAATTCGACACCCGCGATTTTGGATATCCGACCCTGAATCCGTGTTTTGGAATCCCAAATATGTTGTTATATCCATGTCATTCGGATATCTGAGTTTTGGGTATCCGCAGAATATACGATCTTGAATTCATATATATTTTGTAATTGTATTTTTTAAAATTGAAATTCATATTATCGGTGCAGTTTGGAGATATGGTATTTCATGGCACTCGTACTGTTCGCGGGATATCTGAAGAACGCCGAGGTCTCCGTTGCCGCATTATCCATATGGTAAGTTTGCTTTTATTACAAATCGAACCACCGGTTAGTTATAGTATATAGTTATGAATCCTTCTTCTTAATCTTACCGGACATGTAATGTAATGTAATATATGCACATAAATAACCATATTGTATCTGTTGGGAAATTTACTAATGTGTTTAATGATTTGGGAAATGAAGCATGAACATCTTGGGATGGGCCGCCATGGTTGCCATCGGGTTCAATGCAGCCGTAAGGTATTATACCCTTTTTCTAACAAACATTACAAATTTAATTTATTATTCGGAATAAAACGTACTTTTGCTATATATATGTATGTATCAAAATGGTGTGTGTGTATAGTGTGAGGGTGTCGAACGAACTAGGGGCCAACCATCCGAGAACGGCGAAGTTCTCGCTAGTGGTGGCGGTGATATCGTCGACGATGATCGGAGTCGGGATATCGGCCGTCCTTCTGATATTCCGGGAACGATATCCGGAGTTTTTCACCGACGACAAAGAGGTCAGGACCGTCGTTAGAGATCTAACGCCCATGCTCGCACTCAGCATTGTCATCAACAATGCCCAACCCGTCTTATCCGGTAATACATACATACATATATATATATATATATATATACATACATATATATATATATCCAACATTACCTAGCTATATTGTGTGATAAGGTTATTACTGTAATATGTATATCATTTAATTAGGTGGTCATTTCGGGTTTTAAGTTCTATTCGGTTATATTCGAGTTTAGTTATTTCGATCTTAAGAAATATAATAACACAGTTTTTATATCGACTTCGATTTGGTATTTTTTCGGTTTTGATTTGCTTCGTATTCGTTTTTTATTTAAAAAAAAATCGATTTTTATAATATTTTAATTTGGTTTGGTTTAGATTTTATTCGTTTTTGAGAAATTTTTACCATTTGAATTTATAACAAATTCGGTTCGATTATGGACATATATTTTCGGGCTAGGCGGATTCAATTATTTAGTTATTAACCGAACAGACCACCCTATATTTAATTCAAGTTTTTTTTAAAAAAATCTATTATCTCTATATATGTTATACGCAAGCTTTAACCTGGATTCGTTACTTAGTCTCTATATAGAATTTACATGTGTAATTCAAATCAAGCGGCCGTTTGGTAACACGTGGGTTGGAATGTGGAAGGTGTGGCGGTGGGAGCTGGATGGCAAGCAGTGGTGGCGTACGTTAACGTCGCCTGCTACTACTTGTTCGGGATCCCTCTGGGCATGATTTTAGGGCACAAACTCGGATTCGGCGTAATGGTAATCATTAATCATATATATATATATATATATATATATATATAATTTCGATCGAACAATATTAATAACGGTCGATCATTTAACGTTATGAAAATGGATACGGATGAGCAGGGGATCTGGAGCGGAATGTTGATGGGAACGGTAATCCAGTCGTTAGTTTTGACGTGGATGATCCAGAAGACGAACTGGGAAAAAGAGGTGAGACCGTGTTTTGTTTTGTTTTATAACATGAGTGGTCGGTCGTGTCTGAATATGAGATCGGCTGAGGAATGGCTAAGGAAGCAAGAGTTCGTTGGAATTGCAGGCTACAATGGCGGAAGACAGGATCAGGCAATGGGGAGGCCACTCCGATTCCAAGGAGAATATATTGACCTAATTCTTTTTTTAATTATTATTATTATTATAATATATGATATTCATAGGGCGAATTCTATCGTTTTCGTTTTCCCGACAAACAGTTTTACCCATTTGGTTTTTCAATTACAATGGCATCTATTTAAATTTAATTACGTCGGCTTACTAATACTATGCAATGATTTTCATGGCCGTCTGTGTTATTGTGGGCTTATTGGGCTAACAAAATGCATCTGTTGGGCTCAAACAGCCCAGTTCCCTTGGGAGGGTAAAATGGGTTTTTTATCCGAAAAAATTAATTCAATTAAAACACGGAACGAAAATGAAAACTTGTATCAAAGAGAACACTCATTTTTGCCCTTTTCCCATGCAACAAGTTTCACATGGAACTTAATTAAATTTGACATTTGTGTAACATTACCTATCCCACGGAAATGTACTTCAATGGCTCCAATTAGGGTCCGATATATTAGATTTTCTTTTTAAAAAACGTAAGAAGATGAAAGAAAGATTAGGAATCACGTTACCTGCATAGAATCAAGTTACAAATCTAAAGGGGGTCAAATCAGAGAGTAATTAACTCAAAAGGGGAAATGAGTACTATCACGTAAAGGAAATGGTAGTAAGATTCTCCAAAAAGTCAATATAAACCGGATTTGCCTTTTTGTCCTTGCAACGCTCTCTATACTCTTAGAGCTCGTGACATGTTACAATTTCAACATGTGTGAAAAAAAAAAACAAAATTCAAATTATCTGTAACTCATTAAGAATAACAATGTGCAGCATTAGCAATTTTGTTTTATGAATTTTGAATTTGAAAATGCAGCGAGCGGTCCTATGTAAAACAAAAAAAGTTGGAACCTTTACCTAGAAGAAGAAGGGTTCATGTAGTTACGTTTTCAATGAAGATTTGATTGATTTAAATTGGAATTTGTTTTCCTGACATTATCTCTCTTCATTGTTTGTCGCTACAAATACCCTTTTGTCTTATCTCTCTCCCCCTCCATCTCTTTCTCCAATGCGTCTCTCTCTCTCTCTCTCTCTCTCTCTCTCTCTCTAATATATATCATCAATTAGTGAATGTCAGAAAATGTGTGCCATACAAAATCTTTGTAGAGACAAACAATCACCAGCCAAGACAATGAGTTAGTTTAATGGTTAATTTAGGTATACCTGCTGAATTGTTTTTTTTATATAAAAAACTAGGGTTTCGAATGGAGATGAACAGTTGAGATACGAGTGACTGCTGTAAAAGTGATGTATGCCAATATTGACTGGTGTTGTGTGTGTGTGTGTATGTATATATATATCGACGTGTCGTGATTCGTTCGTCCTCGCAAAACACAAAACACGACAAGCCATTTTGTTTGACATTAACTTCTTTGTTTATCGTGAATCACAATTACAATTACTGCGGAAGTGATTGAAGAGTCGTCAATCATTCACCCTACTAGCTATTTCCACATTAATTGACCTTTACGAATTATACTTATTTGTATATAATTTACCACGGAAATTTTGTCACCTTATACATAAAATATTGCTTTCGATATAGTATCATGCAATGTTATTTATGTTGTCGTCAAATGTATTTTAACAAATATAATAAAACGTATATTAATGTTGAGCTTTGTCTATAAATACACGTATCGAGCACAGGCAGAATCCAAACTCATCATTTTCTCCCTCGCTTAATAAAAATAATAAGAAGAAACCCTAAAAATGGAAGAAGCGATGAGAAACCTCAATGGATACACCCACGAACCGAGCCCGAACCCGTCCCCGAGAAAGTCAACCTCGACGCCGTCTGCGGTGGCCAACCGGAGACGCCTCTCCTCCGCCGTATCTTCTGCGACAGACCCCGCGACGAAGAGGTACCGCGGCGTGAGGCGGCGCCCGTGGGGGCGATATGCGGCGGAGATACGCGATCCGACGTCGAAGGAGCGACGCTGGCTCGGCACCTTCGACACGGCGGAGGAAGCTGCATGTGCCTACGACCACGCGGCTCGAACCTTACGTGGCTTCAAAGCTCGCACCAACTTCACTTATCCGACGGCTGCCGACGTTCCGGAACCCGGGTTCACTTTCTCTGGGAAGAGATCTCGGCCGTTCGTTCCGTCTACCTCTCACTTTACCGCTGGGTTTTACGGTGCACCTGCTCCGCAGAGGATAGCTCCCTCTCCCGACAAGTTTCTCCTCCGTGACGTTTTCAATGCTACTACTATTGACGCCTCGTGTTCGTCTCGTAGAACGCCGCCGTGTTCCTCTCTCCCGAACCCCGACGGCTCGAAGCTCCCGGCCGTTTTTCTGCCGGTGTTTGAGTCCAAAACGGCATGCATGTCAACGTCAGTGGACGAGGGCGACGTGGAGTTTTTCCCGCGAGAACCTTCTGATTCAGGCCTCTTACAAGAGATTGTTCAAGGGTTCCTGAAGTCCAGGAACAGGCAACTTTCCGACAATCTTCCTCCTCCTCCTCCGCCTCCGCCGCCTCCGCCGCCTGTGACCCTTCAAGAATATCCCGGCAACATCGTCTCTTTCGGCGCTTACCATCACGTGAATTCTCTGCCGGAAACGATGATTACGAACGAGAATCTCGCTGAATATGGGAATTTCCAGGCTAATGATTCCGGCGTTCCCGCCTGCAAAGGTGGCTTTATGTCCGGAAACGAGTTGGTTTATTATCAAGAAACGGATATGTTCGGAGGTTTTGGCCGGAGTTTATGAGTGCTAGGGTTTGAGAATTTTTGAGCTGTTATCTTTTTTAATATGCTTTTAATTTGAGTCTTGTCTTCCCTGCACTTATATAGACGAAGTTAAATTAGCTTATAAATGTTTTTTTAATATATCTAAGGTTCATATATATGCTTGGGATTGGTGAATCATGATTAGTGTGATGTTGCAAATGGTGTGCTACGATTTTACTCTTAAAGGAGTAATGTGGTTATATATATATATATATAACCACATATTGTATATGTACGTGTTGGATTTTTCTAAATCGCAAATCACAGACACATCATTTGTTGATATTCAAGTCAGTACGATAATATATTTATAATTATAATTTAAAAATAGAATATAAAAATGGGAATTTTCATTAGCCCCAAACCCCAGATTTTGGATTTGATTAATCATCAATAGAATAAAATTTAAACAAGGATTTCAACACCCAAAAGCCAAAACTGTTGCACCCACCAAAAAAAAAACAAGAAGGGGTTCTCTTCTCCAGCTGTTTGCGGTAGTATATATATGGGCCGATTTGGACCGTAACTGTTTTTTACTATTGGCCCATTTATGTATTTATGTTTTCAGATCTGCCCCTTAAGTTTGTTTAGTGACATAATCACCCCCCTCTTTACCATTTCACAAGTTAATTTATGTTTGATTATTTTTGGGTGTGTAAATAGCATAAAACGAGATGTTTAATTGATTACCAGTATATTATATGCTTTTTAAATTTGGTCGGATTACTCAATCAAATAACTAACAGTCGAAATTGGTATAAGAAGGATTCGAAGGAAGTATATATGAAAAAGGAGTTCGCCCTCGAAGCATATATATATATATATATAACGATCTTGAATTCATATATATTTTGTAATTGTATTTTTTAAAATTGAAATTCATATTATCGGTGCAGTTTGGAGATATGGTATTTCATGGCACTCGTACTGTTCGCGGGATATCTGAAGAACGCCGAGGTCTCCGTTGCCGCATTATCCATATGGTAAGTTTGCTTTTATTACAAATCGAACCACCGGTTAGTTATAGTATATAGTTATGAATCCTTCTTCTTAATCTTACCGGACATGTAATGTAATGTAATATATGCACATAAATAACCATATTGTATCTGTTGGGAAATTTACTAATGTGTTTAATGATTTGGGAAATGAAGCATGAACATCTTGGGATGGGCCGCCATGGTTGCCATCGGGTTCAATGCAGCCGTAAGGTATTATACCCTTTTTCTAACAAACATTACAAATTTAATTTATTATTCGGAATAAAACGTACTTTTGCTATATATATGTATGTATCAAAATGGTGTGTGTGTATAGTGTGAGGGTGTCGAACGAACTAGGGGCCAACCATCCGAGAACGGCGAAGTTCTCGCTAGTGGTGGCGGTGATATCGTCGACGATGATCGGAGTCGGGATATCGGCCGTCCTTCTGATATTCCGGGAACGATATCCGGAGTTTTTCACCGACGACAAAGAGGTCAGGACCGTCGTTAGAGATCTAACGCCCATGCTCGCACTCAGCATTGTCATCAACAATGCCCAACCCGTATATAAATCTTGTTTTTAAAAATCTAAATCAGTTGTATTATGTTAGCATGCAAAATACAACATTTAAATTATGTTAAAAGCTGATAACTCGTATTACGAGAGGTTGAATAGTCATATAACTCATACAAATTAAATTATGGATAAATATTTTAAAAATAACACGAGGGTTGCGCTCGTTGCGGGACTTAACCCAACTATCTACGTTAGGGAGACATAAAAAAACACAACTAGTAATCCATTAACCATCTAATATACCATAGTGGAATACATGTAACATAATGTTCTAATAATTTGTGGATCATTTAATTATAGGATATAGTGATATAGTGACGATGTTACAAATTCATGGGCGTGTATATATATATATATAGAGAGAGAGAGAGAGAGAGAGTTAGATCTAAGTCCTATTGACTTGAATTATACATATATTATAAACCCATGTAAGGTTCATGATAATTTGGTCGGCATTTCTAAGATTTTTTTAAAAAATTAATCGGAAATTTGTCATGAAACGTTGACCTTACTTTCAAGTCAACGGAGACCTTTCTTTCAACCAGCACGTCACCGGAAAAACTTTTAATCATTGCACATGCCTGTTTAAAATATCTATCAGAAAAATACATGAAATCCCATTTATATATAGGAATTTATCTGATTTGTAGGTAGAGAGTTAATTTGTGAAATAAATAAATAAAATAAAAGGAGGAGGTTTTAATATTTACGTGGGCCTGAAACGGTGACAAGCCCAAATATAAAAAGCCCAGTTGTAAAATTGAAATGGAGATATTTAAAAGGACACGTGTCGGGACCTTACACATGAAGTCATCTACATTCTACACGACAAAACAGCCTTGACTTAATGCGTGGCAGGTCCCACGTAAAACACCGTGTTAAAATGACCAGATTACCCTATGTTTCATATTCCATGTAGGGATGGGCGTTTCGGGAAACGGTTCGGATTCGAAATGGAATAGATCGGTTCGATTCTTTCGGTTTTACAAAAATAGATACAATTGGGTTTTTTACTCTTTCGAGTTTCTCGTCGATAACAAGAGCTGGAGGGCTTCTGTTCACAGATATCGGATGGGCAAAACACGGTATGCCCATTATCGCCAGTCGGATGATATTCTGGCGGATGCGGGATGGCATTGTAGTTTCTGCTTCCGGTACATCAGCGAGTTCGTATTCAAGATGAAGGCTTATAGCCATTATGACAGAGTGAGGTTTGCTCGTTACTTGAACCCCAAGAGAGTTCAGAGAGTGATATGCGAAGGATCTGATCTGTTTGATATGCTTCCGGAAGAGTACACCTTCAAGGAGATAATCGGAAAGATGGGACATATCCCTCGTTCCTTCTCGGCCGTCCACCTTCCTTCTCATCTCCTCGAAAACGCCGGCAAGTACAGGTTTCTCTTGCCGGGAAATTGCGTCAGAGAAAGCGAATGAGGATGACGATCATCATCGGTACAGAGCAATCGTGTTTTCGCATTCGAGTAAAAGCTCAATCGGAGCACCTGCTGGTTCAAAATCCTCCAGAGGAGAGAACCGGGCCGATACAATAAGAGACTACTGATATAGCTGTGCATTTTTGGCGAGGCATGTCGGTTCTGTGATGCCGCGGAGTTTGATCGAAGGGCGTTTCAGAGAATTACAGGTGAAGATATATATATGTATATAGTTTCCTATTTCCGATTCAAATCAGTCATGAACCTCTCAAGATCTTCACTCTTGTTGTGTTCAGCTGAGTTTCCCCTTGTCGGGAAGTTTTGCATCGAGGCTCTTCTGTACATCTCTCTTCTTCAGTTCCGCTGTATATCCATTGGTTATATACTTGCTTTGCTTTTTCTTGTGTTGCCATGAAAATACTTGTCGTAATAAAACCGTGAAGAAGATCGATTGTTTCTATCACAGACTTTCAGAGTTTACGCCGATGGCCAACGTAACGCCAAAGACTCCATGGCCCAATGGATAAGGCGCTGGTCTACGGAACCAGAGATTCTGGGTTCGATCCCCAGTGGAGTCGTCTCACTTTTTTTTTTTATGTATTTCATTAGGAATAGTTATTTTAAGAAATAGACAAAAAAGCAACTCATGTTTTGTTGACATTGATGATGATATCATTGAGACAGGAAGCAATAAAGAAAGAGTTTCAAAGACAAAAACACCGAAGCAAGAACCATGAAGGAGGAACTAAGAGAAGACATCTAACACAAAGATGACAAACAATAATGGTCTCCTTCCAAACTCCATTGCAACAAAGAGTTCATACAAGTTCCAAAGAGAGTATTCAAATACATTTTTTTTCCCCAACACACACAAAACAGAGTTCTCCTCTTTAAGTGTTTGTGGCTGCTTTGCCACAAGCAAGACCCGAACATTTGAAGGCTCAAAGACAGGAAACAAAAAACCCAAAAAGACAAACACCCAGAAAGTTAAGTTGGCGAAGGAGACGTGTTTTCTCTTAGTTAGCTTCTACTACTCTTCCTTCCTTCAAAATCTTGGTTGGGTGTCACCATTCACATCAAATCCTTGTCCTTAGTTTCTCTCTCTCTCTCTTTCACCATCTCTCCCTGGACGATGGCCTGCCAATGCCATACCCAAAGTGTCAAGATTAGTTAAGAACCCATGCGATACCAAACTCTGTTTATGTCCTATTTGATGCCATACACGACGAGTTTTGCTCCTATTTGTTCACACGCCATTGCCAACAACAAAGACGGTGGCCCAGTGTGGATCTTAGTACATCTCTTTGGTTATTTCAAGTGCACCGATTCTAAAACATTGCTGTTCATATGTGCAAAATAAACAGATCCGGATCAATGAGTAGGAAACTGGATAAGGATGATTCAGTAGATATAAACAGTTTGTTAAGGCATGTTATGAGCATATTGTCAGGGTATTTTCTGTGAATGATCCGAGGAGAGATGTAAAAAGGTCATAGACACGAAGGCTAACCTGTCAAAGTTCCTGTTGCTGAAGAACCCTCGCTCCTTGCTTCCTTGGAAGTTTCTTCTGTCATCAACAGGCCTTACCCAGGCCTCAACTGCACCACGTGATCTTGGTCTGTCTATAGATTCGAAACTCCTAGACTCATCGAATGATTCGGAACGAGAATGTGATATTTCGGAAAGAGTAGATGTTCTGCCTGCACCAGAACCAGGTCTCTCAACTGCTTTCTGCCTGAACCTGACCTTGTCGTCCAACTCACGAATAAGTGTTTCAAGATCTTTTTCTTTCTGATGTATAATGTCTGGCAGACTATGGTGATGAGCGCCAGGATTTTGTTCAGAGTCCTTGCTTTCTGACGCTGTGGGTTCCTTCTCGAGTTGTTTTTTTAATTCATCAATCTCTTCCTTCAATGTTTTCTCTTCTTCTGTCTCAGGCCTGACAAAGATGGTTTCATGAAATAACACAGTCAAGAGAAGAGACCAATGTTTTTTGGCATAAGATCTAGAAAGCCATTGAAAAATTCACGAGACAAAACCTATATACCACAAGAACGCACAACAGAAGATCAACTAAACTAAACAATCAGCAGCGAAGCTTTGATGGAGATATCAGAGAATGCATCAACAGAAAGTCACAATCTTTCAACTTGAATGAACAAGAGACACCAGAACAAATAGACCTCAGTTGACAGAACAAACATCGATTAGGCAGCCAGATAAAGGAATGGCTCTCACACACACCATCCAAGTCAGAGATTGGAACTCGGCAACTAAACAAAGTCTTCGATAAGAGTTGAACTCAGAGCCTCAGAAAAGCTTAGAAGGCCATCATTTCAACACATTATCGAAAGATAACCATGAAAAACACTACAGGAAAGACCCGAAATTTTCAAACCATGCAATAGTTTTCTATTCATTGGAAAATCTGCCAAACTAAACACAGAAAAACCAAAGGTTGTGACTTTCAACAATAAAAGGTGGCAACATATTGCATCCAACACTAAAAAAATTCTAACTTTTCCGGTCTAACCATGTACGCAGACTATCAGCAACCAGAAACATGAGCTCTTTTAAGATATAACTAAATATTCACACAGTGCTGTAAAATGGATTTGAAACAAAACCACAATCCTCTGAGCCATTAAAGAAAATCTAGATTGGTAAAGGACCTGTCAACCCTGCGATGATCGAGTTCAGCATCAATCTTGCGCCAGTCCTGTCCTCGTTTCTCTAGCAACACTTCCCTAGGCTTTGCATCGCCAAAAGGATTCACCTTCGGTCTTGGTTTGACAACGTTCTCTACGTTGTTCAATGCCGAACCCTCAGACCTGTTAGACTGAGCACTTGATGGCCTGCTTGAATGGGCGCTCGTCGGTCTGCTTGTTTGCGAGCTTCCTTTCTTGGCCTCAATTTCAGAGTCAAGTTTCTTCCAATCCAATCCCTTCTCCGCCAACACTTCCTCTCTGGGTCTAGCTGCACCAAATGGGTTCGGCTTATTTGTCTTCACGACTTGAGTTTCAGTCACTCCTGAATCAGCCTTTCTTGGTTCCAATACCAGACGAGGACGCTCCGCATGAACATCACCGCCGCCGGCTCCTCGGGTCCACCGGTCAGGCTCCGGAACCGAATCACGGAAACCCGACCCGAATGTAGATGATCTGGCGGGAGGCTGCCTTTTCCCCGCTGCCCAATTATCAACCTCATCAGCCTTGGAGAATCCTCCGCCGTCTCCGAGACCGCCATAACGACCCTGGCGTCCTTGATCGAAAGAAGGAAGCGACTTCTTTGCTTTTCCCCAGTCATCGACCTCGTCAGCCCTCGATGGCTGAGCAAAATCGGAAACCCTAGACGAGGATCCCCTTCGTTCATCGTCAAATCCGCCATAGGATCTCCTGCCACCTCCCCACGACCCATCGGAATCGTCCCGATCCCCCATCGTCCGTCCCTGGGGCCCACCAGACCTACCGTACGAGGAAAATCCGCCTCCGAGCCGACCCGGTTGCATTTCCTCCTGGGAGCGTTGCCGTGGACCAGTCGGGAGCTGAAGCATCTCGTCCGGCGTCAAACCCACCGCCGCATTTCCGCCGCCTGGCGCAGTGTATGCGCCCATCTTGAACTCCGACAGCGTCATCTTTTTCTTCTTCTTCGACTTGGCACTCGCAGTCGCAGCTTCCTTCAGGCTAGGGAAACTCTGCGTGTCCGCCGCCACCGCAGTGGCCTTAACTTCGGCGGAGCGTTCTTCATCGGCACGCTCCGCCTCATCAGCCCACGCGCCGATACCACCCCAAGCTTTCGACATCTGATCCAATTCAGAACCGTAGATTCCGAGATCTGAAATGGGAAGAGCTCGTAAACGAAGAGATCCACGGAACGGAAAGAGAAATCCGCCGGAAGAGTATGGATCTAGGGCTCCGACAGCACCCAAAGAAGAAATCACCGGAAAATCAGACAATCGCCGTCACTCTCTTCTCCCTTTTGTGTGACGTAGAAATTTCCAGAAAACGAAATTCCCATTTGTCGCAGTTTCTAAATGGAGAGGAGCGTGGAATAAACGCACCAATCAGGAGCGAGATATGTCGCCCACGCCACGTGTACATGTTAACTTTGAAAAGTAAAAGGAATGCAATGCGAAACGGCGTCGTATTGAAAAGGGCTTGGTTAATTCAAGTTGTACACTTGAAATTTACCTCTTCGTCGTGCGTAAATCGAAGAAATGAAACCATTCGAAAGACTCTCTGAAAGAGACAGAGGCTTCTACAATCTCATTTACTGCAATGTCACCCCTATATTTTATAATAATTACAGAATCACCCTGTTCTTCATGGTTGGCGTTAAGGTTAAGCCCTTAAACCATCTAAATCGTCTCCCTCTCTCTCTCGCCGGCGAGATTCCGATCAACATAGCGATAGGTAAGTCTAACTCCGATATTTTTTGCTCTTCTCTCATTTCCTGTGCTCAATCAAGGGATGATCCCTAGTTGCAGATTAGACTTGGCAAGATGAACACGATAACGAGGCGAGTCACGGGGTTGGTGACTCGAGCGAGTTATTACCTGCTGCAGCAGGAGCGAGGGATACGAGTGAAGGTTCTGAACGGGAATATGGAGCAGGCGCTCTCGATCATGCAGAGGAAGATGCAATCGAGTGGAATGGAGCGGCTGATAAAGCAGCGCCAGACTCATCACATTAAGAACTCCGAGAAGAAGGTTCTCGCTAGGAAGAATCTGGAGCGTAGGATCCGATCCGAGGATTTCTCCCGCAAACTTCAGTCAATCCTCATTAAGAAAGTCAGGTACTTGAACATTCGCACCTGTTTTAGTCGCATTTCGTTTAATTTGTGTCGACATTTGGGGAATTTGATCTGGGATTTTGGAATTCTGTCTGGTTTCTCAGAGAAAATCTTATTCTGGAATGTTTGTTTGTTTAGTCGAAAAGGGTATTCTCCTAATTTCAACTTGTGACATAGATCAAGACACAGAATCTGAGTTCAAACTTGATCGATCTGTAAACTACTCCGGATGTTTCTGTGTCTGCAAGCACACGTGAAACTCGAACATTTGAAATGGGTATCTGGAAATATAAGAACTTTTAAGAGATCTTGAAAGCCGATAGAGCTGGTGGCCAAATCTTCAAGTAGCTCCATTGTTTCTGCCATGAGTTTTGGATTTATGCGCCATTCATGGTTTTCCTATTTCTTCTTTGCAGAGGTTTATGAGAGTGCAGTTGGAAGAATCCGGACTGCTGTTTCGTTGCTTTTCTGGGAATTGGTGTTCATCGATGTTAGGATGTGGTGCGATGCAGTTTCGATTCGGATTCTTGGGACTCGCACTTTCAGTGAAAGGGTTTGGAAGATCTTGGATTACTATTCTCGGTTTTCCATTTGATAGTAATATAGTTTCCTTTGATGTACATGAGCTTTGATTTACCCAAAAACCAGCCCCATTTCCAAACCCTAAGTTTCATGACAGAAACCAAACTGATGCAGCAAAAAGTGTCTGAAATTTATCATCAGAATCTGACATGGGGATATGTCCTCGTAGATTTCTCGTGGGATGAGCAGCAGCATAATATATAGCCTGTAAGTGTTCCACCTCCTTCCTTCATGATTTCAATCCAATTTCTTTCCGCAGCAAATACGAAAAATTATTGATTTTGCTCGTTCTTGAACTTTTGAGAGAAGAAAGAAGCAAGAATGATTCTGATTTTAGCTTGATCAATACAAGCCTGACTTTGATTACAAAGAGGAATCTATAAGATTACTTGCTCCGTTTCTCAGTTTCCTTTTTTTTTGTCCACGCAGATTCTTTTCCATGGCAAGAATCATACCTTGAACTTGTTGCCAAGTTATCCTCTCTCTCTCTCTCTTTTACAACACCAGAAGCACTCTTTCCTTCCTTTCATTTCATTATTCTTCGTTTAGTTGAATGTTTTCTTGCTTGCAGCCTCAATGTCTCGCCACCACTATGAGACTAACCCTCATTTCATTAGATTTCAGCCTCAGGATCAACAACGCGGTGGTCCTTCCATTCCGTGGACCTCTCCTCCACATTCAGAGCATCCCCACCACCACGGCTCGGACCCAGACCCCGATCCACGGCCCAGGGTGCAGATAAAATCCCGGGAAAGACAACGACGTGCTTCCCCCGCCGAGGAATCCCGTCAACCCCGTGGACCACCTCCAGCAAGACCCTTGCCGCTGAGCCCAGAGGAGCCATTACCACCACGCCACAGTCCAAGCTCTGCTAGACCATTGTTACTTAGCCCGGAAGAGCAACGTCCTCCACCCGGCCATGGACCACCGCCACCACAACATCCTTCGGCCAAGCCCTCTCCGTGGAGGGCAGCAGAGACGGCACCACCACCGCGACAACCGCATCACCATGGCAGTGGCCTACGGATACCGCCACCCGAGAAAACGAATGCTGTAACATGGTCAGCAGCCGTCTGCTGTGCCATCTTCTGGGTCATCCTGATTCTCGGCGGCCTCATTGTCCTCATCGTCTACCTCGTCTACCGACCACGTTCCCCCTACTTCGACATCGCCACCGCAAACCTAAACGCCGCCTACCTCGACATGGGTTTCCTCCTGAATGCGGATCTCACGGTCTTTGCAAACTTCACGAACCCGAGCAAGAAAAGCAGCGTGGATTTCAGCTACGTGACGTTCGAGCTCTACTACTACAACACCCACATCGCGACTCAGTACATAGAGCCGTTCAAGGTGCCAAAGGGGATGTCGATGTTTGCGAACGTGCATCTGGTGAGCAGCCAGGTTAGGCTCGAGCCGTTGCAGAGCCAGGAGCTGCAGAAGCAGATAGAGAGCGGACCGGTGTTGCTGAATCTGAAGGGAACGTTTCATGCCCACGCCAACCTCGGCAGCCTGTTGAGGTACTCTTACTGGTTGCACACTCATTGCAGCATCTCGCTCAACGGCCCTCCTTCTGGTACTATGCGAGCTAGACGCTGCAACACCAAACGCTAGCTGCGTTTGCGTCTGCGTTTTCGGTTTTGTTGTGCGTTTGGTGATATATATAGGTTACGATTAATGGGTTGATTGTTATTGTGTTTTTGCTTTACTCTTTTTTTTTGGTCTCATGACTCGTGTGATTAGGAATAAACAGACGGCAAAAGGACACGACTTGTAATGTTTTATTGCAATAATAGGATTCATCGGATTTGTAATAATATAATTTAGATTATTAAACAAAAGCCCATCATCAAGTCCAATCTGCAAACATACCGATGGGTCTTGGTCCCTCCGACCAAATCGTATAAATCTCTTATAAATATTTAATAAATTATTATATTTATTAATTTATCTTTTGACTTCAAGAAATATAATTATTTTTACCATGACAAATTAATATCATTAACATAAATATGTTTTAAACTGAATCCCCAATTTTTTTGGATAATTAAAATTTTAAATTTTACGGATTTTTGTTAATCATTATGTACATATATATATATATAGGGAATAACAACAATTTTTGAACAATATTAGGGAAGTTAATAGGCAACAGAATCATGATTAACATATCAAATCATGGAAGATTTGTAAAAAGTCTACAAATCCAATCAGTAGTGATTTGCTTTATCATCCCAGAGAAGGAGAATCCACAAATGCTTGTTCTTGAAAACGATCTCTGTATCAGCCAAAATCTCTGCAGTTGGCCTTTACATACAGCATCTGATCTTGCAGACAGAGAAAGAGGAACAAAAATGGCGATCTTCCCTCTGGCTTTTACCATTGTATCATTAATCTCTGCAAGAAGCCGACTACTTCTTCGAAGGTCTCAGAAGTATCTGTTATTTACAGACCAAGGGTACGAAAAACACAGTTCTGACACAGGAAACATAGATCAAGAACTCTGTTTTTTAAGCATCTGAGAAAGATATGAAGAAACAGGGGAGAGTGTTCATCGACGAGTAAGAGACCTCGGGTCGATGCAGAGAATGAACAAGACAGCCGGAGAAGAAGGTATTGCGATTTACAGTTGTGGTTTGTACGTTATGTTCATCAGGAGCAAAGAGATAATATCTTCTAACTCTAGTGGAACTCTTGCATTGTGTGATGGATGTTTTAGCTGCTCCATATATCACGTGTTCCTAAAATCCCTGTTCTGTGGTTCCTGTTGAAAGATCTGCAAACGTCCAAAAACGTGAACTCACCTCTTGTACCAGCACCAAGCTCAGTAGTTTGCCTAAGAACATAACTTCAACTGAACTAAATCTTGTTCTCTGATCTGAAAAAACCAGATCCAGAAAGCAGGAAAAAAAAAACAAATGGAAACACTTCTGTCCTTCCTCTGGCTTTTGCTCCTGACCCTTGTGTCTATATTCTTCATAAAACGGGTTAAACCCTCCAAGTGGAAGCTTCCTCCAAGCCCTCCAAAGCTTCCGGTCATCGGAAACTTGCACCAGTTCGGGGAATTGCCTCACAGATGTCTCCAAGAAACATGGACCTGTCATGTTTCTGCAACTCGGGTTTGTTCCGATGGTCGTAATCTCCTCGAGTGAAGCAGCTGAAGAAGTGGTTAAAGCCAATGACTTGGAGTGTTGCAGCCGGCCAGAGACCGTAGCGACCAGAAAGCTTTCTTATGATAATAAAGACATTTCTTTCGCTCCATACGGTGAATACTGGAGAGACATGCGGAAAGTTGCGGTACTCGAGCTTTTCAGCTTGAAAAAGGTTCAGTCTTTTAGGCGTATCAGAGAGGAAGAGAATGACTTGATGGTCAAGAAACTGTCCGAATCTGCTCTGAAGCAATCTCCTGCAGATTTGAACAAAACCCTTACCTGGCTCACTTCAAGTATTCTATACAGAGTTGCCTTAGGTCAGAATTTTCGTGACAGCCAGTTTGTGGATAAGGACAGGATCGAAGAACTTGTGTTCGAAGCCGTGACAAGTCTAGGCAGCTTCGCTTTCTCAGATTTCTTCCGGGGAACCATCGGGAGGCTCGTTGATCGGGTATCTGGCCAAAATAAGAGGCTGAACAGAATCTCGGCGGAACTCGACACTATTTTCCAAAAAGTGATTGATGATCATTTGAAGCCTGAAAGAACAGCTCAAGATCACAAAGACATCATTGATGTGATGCTGAATCTAATTCAGAGCCAAAGCAAAGAAGATGCTTTCAAGCTCACTATAGATCATGTCAAGGGAGTCCTAATGGTAAGCATAAACATGTTTCAGCCCATATACAATCCTTATGTTTGAACACAAGCTTTTCGATATGAAAGGTTTTGTCTTTCCTTTTCCATCTGCATTCTCCAGGACATATTTCTCGCGGGAATCGATACAGGAGCGAAAACCATGATATGGGCGATGACGGAATTAGCCAGGAACCCTAGAGTGATGCAAAGAGCTCAGACTGAGATCCGAAGCTGCATTGGCAGCGCAAAGGAAAGAATTACAGAAGATGACATCCACCATCTTTCTTACTTGAAGCTCGTAATCAAGGAAACATTCAGATTACACCCTGCAGTTCCACTTTTACTGCCAAGAGAAACAATGGGTCATGTCAAGATTCAAGGCTATGATATTCCCCCGAAGACGCAGCTTCAGATTAACGTGTGGGCGATAGGACGAGACCCCGAGCTCTGGACAGAGCCAGATGAGTTCATGCCCGAGAGGTTTATCGATAGTCCTGTGGATTACAAAGGGCAGCATTTCGAGCTGTTACCATTTGGTTCTGGAAGAAGGAGTTGTCCAGGGATATCAATGGCGGTTTCTACGATCGAGTTGGGACTGGCCAACTTGCTTTACTTCTTCGATTGGGTACTGCCTGATGGAATGACGGAGAGAGATATCGATATGAGAGAGGCCGGTACGCTTACCGTTGGCAACAAAGTACCTCTTAGACTTGTGCCAGTTCTTCCACATCTCTAATGGAACAGCTTCAAGTCCAGAGACATATTTCCAGTGTGAATTAGAAACCATGCTTTCTTGTAAAACTTTCACTAAGTGCTGTTACTGAAACTGTCCTTGTAATGACTTGCCCTGTTTTGTGTGTCTCGTAAACTCTGTAATAACACCTTCAAGGCAATTTCAAGAACATGGTCCTAATAGTTTTTTTTTTAATTGATACTTTGTGTTAGTTTTCACCCAAGAAATGTCTATATCCTAATCCAATGACTTTCAGACAGTTGGTGGGCCACACTCCCTTTACCCGGAAACAAGATTTCGACCGCACTCTCGTCCTGAAAACGACATGCAACTTTGAAATAATCAAAACCCACCATGTAAGAACCACAGACTTTTTGGAGATGCCGGACCAAAACAACCGTCTCCAGAACTCAGTTCCGTGAAATCAAAGGCCTGATCTATAAATTAACTCTCCTAAGTGTTCTGTTTTCCCATCGCTTCTGAGCTCTGTTCCTTTTCTCCACAACCAGAAAGAAATGGCAATCTTTATGTCTTTCCTCTGCCTTCTCCTCCTTACCCTCGTGTCATTAATCTTAGTAAAAAAGGGAAAAACTCCAAAAAGGAACCTTCCTCCGAGCCCTAGGAAGCTTCCGGTCATCGGAAACCTGCACCAGTTGAAAGGAAAGCCTCACAGGTACTTTCATCAGCTCTCCAAGAAATTCGGACCCGTTATGCTTTTTCGGTTCGGGTTTACACCGGTGGTCGTAATATCATCGAGAGAGGCAGCTGAACAAGTGCTTAAAACCCATGATCTGGTTTGCTGCAGCAGACCCATGACAGTGGGGATCAACAAATTCACACGTCAAGGTAAAGTTATAAGTTTTGCCCCATATGGTGAAGAATGGAGAGAGTTGCGTAAGATTGCTGTTCTTGAGTTTTTCAGCCCGAAAAAGGTGAGATCTTTCAGGCATATCAGAGAGGAAGAGAATAACTTGTTGGTCAAGAAACTTTCTGAATCGGCTTTGAAGCAATCTCCCGTGGATTTGAGCATAACCCTTTTCCGGCTTGCTGCCGGTATCATACTGAGAGTGGCCTTCGGACAGAACATTCTCGAAAGCAAGCTCATCGATAAGGACAAGATCGGGCAAATCATGGAGGAGGCACAAGATGTCCAAGCGTCCAGTTTCTCAGATTTCTTCCCCGGTTTCGGATGGTTAGTCGATTGGTTCTCCGGGAAATACAAGAAACTCGACAAGGTTTGCAAGGAGTTCGACAATTTCTTCCAGGAAGTGATCGATGATCATCTGAAACATGGAAGAACAGATCAAGATCATCCAGATTTCGTTGACGCGGTGCTGAAAATCATGGAAGAACAAGGTGAAGACGAGTATTTCAGGCTCAACACAGATCATATCAAAGGAATCTTCTCGGTAAGCAGACTGTTTAATTTAAGCTGATTCTTTCTGCTTTTCACTTTCAGCATCAATATATCTTCCATATCTGATCCCGTGTTCGGACAGGACATAGTTGTTGGAGGAATTGACACGAGCGCCATCACCATGACTTGGGCGATGACAGAACTCGCTAGGAACCCTAGAGCGATGAGGAAAGCCCAGGAAGAGATCAGAAACTGCATCGGAAAGAAGGAAACGATCACAGAAGATGACCTCGATCGAATTCACTACTTGAAGCTTGTAATCAAAGAAACCCTAAGATTGCATCCTGCAGCTCCGCTTCTACTCCCAAGACTAACAACGGGTCCTGTCCAGATTCAAGGTTACGACATTCCCCCAAGAACATGGCTTCAGGTCAACGCTTACGCCATAGCGAGAGATCCCGAAAACTGGGAAAACCCAGATGAGTTTATCCCCGAGAGATTCATCGACAGACCGGCGGATTACAGGGGGCAGCATTTCGAGCTGTTACCGTTTGGATCTGGTCGGAGGACATGCCCAGGGATATCAATGGCGATCGCGACAGTTGAATTGGCACTGTTGAACTTGCTCTACTTCTTCGACTGGGAACTGCCAGATTGGATGACTGAGAAAGACATCGACATAGAAGAAACCGGTAAACTCACCACTGGCAAGAAAGAACCTCTTAAGCTTGTCCCCGTTCGGCATGTCTAACCGGAACAAGACAACGAACGAGGTTCAGAGCTGTTTCAGTGTAATCAGTTTCAAATAACTCCTTTCATGTGAGGATGTCTCTGTAGTATGACTGAAAGGGTATGGAATATAATCATCTGTAAAGCTTAAATGCATATCTCAGATGATTTTGAATATTTTCGTAATATGTATGATTATTTAATATATTTTTTAAAAATATTACCGTATAAAATTAAAGAATTCAAATTTAAATTTCTATTAAATCAAAATACGTAACTTTATTATCGATTTTTTATCTTTTTATTATCTTGAAATGTATTAAAGTTTTTGTATTTTAATTATTTTAACTTTTGTTTTGTAATTTTTCTGTATTTTTTTTTTTTTTTTTGTATTTGTATTTTTTTAATATTCAATTATTTCTGGAACTGTCCTTGCAATGGCTTGCTCTGTTTTGTGTCTCGTCAACTCTGTAATAACACCTTCAAAGCAATTTCAAGAACATGGTCCCCAAGGGTTTTTTGTTTCTTTTTTGTGTGTTAATTTCACCCAAGAAATGTCTATCTCGAATGACTTTCAGACAACTGGTGGGCCGCACTCTCTTTATTTGGAAACAAGATTTCGACCGCACTCTAATTGTCGGACAACCGATTTCTCCACCGCACTCTCGTCCTGAAAACGACATGCTCCTTTGAATTAATCGAACCCCACCATGTAAGAACCACAATTCTTTGGAGCTGCCGGGCCACAAAAAAAAAAACCCGTCTCCAGAACTCTGTTTCGTGGAATCAAAGGCCTGATCTGCAAATTAACTCTGCTAAGTGTTCTGTTTTCCGTCGCCTCCGAGCTCTGTTCCTTTTCTCCACAACCAGAAAGAAATGGCAATCCTTGTGTCTTTCCTCTGCCTTCTTCTCCTTACCCTCGTGTCATTAATCTTGGTAAAAAAGGGTAAAAGCCCAAAAAGGAACCTTCCTCCGAGTCCTAGGAAGCTTCCGGTCATCGGAAACCTGCACCAGTTGAAAGGAATGCCTCACAGGTACTTTCGTCAGCTCTCCAAGAAATTCGGACCCGTTATGCTTTTTCGGTTGGGGTATACACCGGTGGTCGTGATCTCGTCAAGAGAGGCAGCTGAACAAGTGCTTAGAACCCATGACCTGGTTTGCTGCGGCAGACCCATGACAGTGGGGATCGAGAAATTCACACGTCAAGGCAAAGTCATAGGTTTCGCCCCATATGGTGAGGGATGGAGAGAGTTGCGTAAAATTGCTGTTCTTGAGTTTTTCAGCCCGAAAAAGGTGAGGTCTTTCAGGCATATCAGAGAGGAAGAGAATAACTTGTTGATCAAGAAACTTTCTGAATCGGCTTCAAAGCAGTCTCCCGTGGATTTGAGCATCACCCTTTTCCAGCTTGCTGCCTGTATCGTACTGAGAGTCGCCTTCGGACAGAACATTCTCGAAAGCAAGCTCATCGATAAGGACAAGATCTGGGAAATCATGGAGGAGGCACAAGATGTTCAGGCGTCCAGTTTCTCAGATTTCTTCCCCGGTTTCGGATGGTTAATCGATTGGTTCTCCGGGAAATACAAGAAACTCGACAAGGTTTGCATGGAGTTCGACCATTTCTTCCAGGAAGTGATCGATGAACATCTGAAACATGGAAGAACAGATCAAGATCGACCAGATTTCGTTGACGCGGTGCTGAAAATCATGGAAGAACAAGGTGAAGACGAGTATTTCAGGCTCAGCATAGATCACATCAAAGGAGTCTTCTCGGTAAGCAGACTGCGTTTAAGCCGATTCTTTCAACTCTTTACTTCCAGTATCAATATAGCTTCCATATCTGCTCCTGTGTTCGGACAGGACATATTTCTTGCAGGAATTGACACAAGCGCCATCACCATGACTTGGGCGATGACAGAACTCGCTAGGAACCCTAGAGCGATGAGGAAAGCTCAGGAAGAGATCAGAAACTGCATCGGAAAGAAGGAAACGATCACAGAAGATGATCTTGATCGAATTCACTACTTGAAGCTTGTAATAAAAGAAACCCTAAGACTGCATCCTGCAGCTCCGCTTCTACTCCCAAGACTAACAATGGGTCCTGTCCAGATTCAAGGTTACGACATTCCCCCAAGAACATGGCTTCAGGTCAACGCTTTCGCCATAGCGAGAGATCCCGAAAACTGGGAAAACCCAGATGAGTTTATCCCCGAGAGATTCATCGACAGGCCGACGGATTACAGGGGGCAGCATTTCGAGCTGTTACCGTTTGGATCTGGTCGGAGGACATGTCCAGGGATATCAATGGCGGTCGTTACGGTTGAATTGGCGCTGTTGAACTTGCTCTACTTCTTCGACTGGGAACTGCCAGATGGGATGTCAGAGAAAGACATCGACATGGAAGAAACCGGTAGTTTCACCATTGCCAAGAAAGAACCTCTTAAGCTTGTCCCAGTTCGACATGTCTAACCGGAACAAGACAACGAACGAGGTTCAGAGCTGTTTCAGTGTAAGTAGTTTCCAATAGCTCCTTTCATGTGAGCATGTATGTCTCTGTAGTATGATGAAAGAGTACGGAATATAATCATCTGTAAAGCTTTCATATATATATATATATATATATATATATATATGATTTTGAATATTTTCGTAATAGATCCAAATACTGAAAAATATTTTCAACTTTAGAGTTGGATTTATTCGAAGGTTAGGGAAAGTGTTTTCCTTGTGGTCCTTTCAGATATGGTACTTTCTTTCGACACACGGTATCACAAATCTCACCACTTCTCCCCATACCCCGAGCATAACGGGATATCGGAACGTAAACATCGGCATATCATGGAGACGGGATTAACACTCCTTACTCATGCATCAATGCCGTTGTCCTATTGGACGTTTGCGTTTCCGGCTGCCGTTTATCTCATCAACCGTCTCCCAACCAAAATTTTATCGTATAAATCGCCATTTCAAACTCTTTTTGACTCAACACCGAACTACACTAAACTCCGAACTTTTGGTTGTCTATGCTTTCCTTGGCTTCGTCCATACTCTCACCATAAGCTCGAACCTCGCTCACAACCGTGTGTCTTCGTGGGTTACTCTTTAACCCAACATGCCTTTTTGTGTCTACTCTTCCCGTCACGTTAATTTTGTCGAGTCCTCCTTTCCTTTTGTCTCACTCTCGACGTCAACCCCGGGTTTATCTCCGACGGGTGAAACCTCACAGTCGATATCACCCTCTCACACTCTAGTACCAAGTCGCTCACTCATCACGCCGTTTCCCGCTGCTCTGTCCCCGCTGTCGGAAACTTCGCCTCGATCTTCCTCGCCCGAAACCAGACTCTGATACCATATACGAAGGTTAGGGAAAGTGTTTTCCTTGTATTGCAAAATCATTCTGTACATGAGTTATATACAACCAGAAGAGAGATTGTTAAGGTAACAATACAAGAGATATGGAGGAGAGATTTGATATAAACAATAATAGGGAGATATCTTTTGACTTTTGACTCCTCCTTTAGGATTTGGGTCAATTTGGATATGTCAGAATAAGGAATCCGAATCACGTATTCAGTATCCAGCTTTCGCTCCAAATGAATTAGGGGTTATGTGTGGATACCCGTCCGAATTTAGAAGAATTACCAAAAAAAAATATATATAAAAAAATGGGTATTTGAAAAGTTTCATATCCGTTTTTTTTCTCTGATTTCGTTGTGTTGCAAGTTGCAACTATTTTCCAGAACAAATTAATTACTTATGAATCTTCAAAACAAATTTAAAATAAATTAAGATAACATTTATGTTGTCAAGTAATAATTAACTCCTAACAACAATCCATTCAATACCGTCGATGGTATTATTATTTAGGGATGAATGAAACTATCCAGATTTTGGGACACCCTTTCCAATTTGAAAATCGAACTAGATATACATCGAGTTTTAATATATCTAAAATCCAAATTATGGATTCGAATTCGGATTGATATTTTTGGATCAGATAATTACTCAAGCTATCTTAATAATAAAAAATAATTATTATATCTTTTAGTTATTAAAAATTAAAAATATATCTATTAATATCTTATTATTTATGCCTTTGTTTATTTTTATAATCTAATTATTTTAGATATAAATATTTTTTAAATAATTTTATAAATTATTTATATGCAATCTATGGATTTGTGAGTTTTTCATCAAATTTAAAATTTATTGGATTCGAATATGTCTAAAATTTATTAAAATTTGAGTTCAAATTTGGATTTTAAAAGGAAAATCGACAAAAAAAAAAAACTGTAATCTTTTTAGGTCAATAAAAAAATCCTATATTTTTTTTTACTAATTAAACTTTGTATTTAATGTGATTCATTTATGAAATCTAATTTTTTTTTTGAATTTTTCGAAAATCTCCTATTGTCTTTCAACTCAAACAAAAATGATCATATTACAGTGATATGACTTCCAAATCATACACACATCATCATCATTATTCTACATCATCATTTCAAATAAAATTTAAATTAAATAATTTAGTTAAATTAATATATATATTAATTCATATAATATATATATATATATACATATATTTACGAATAATAGAATTTTGATATCCAAAAATTTGAGTTCAAATTTGGATTTTAAAATATACTGTATAACTCGTCCAATTCAAAATTGAATTCGAATACTTTAAAAATATCAGATATCTGTGCCCTATCTTTATTAGTATTATTTTTTGGGAAAGAAAAATCTATGGTGATTATTTAGAACATTAAATGATTGGTAATAAAGTCATAGTAATAGACTTTTAATGCGTTTTTGTAGTCCACTCGATGTTGGTCCACGTAGAAAACTGATCAGAAAATTAATGATAATAATAATAATAATAATAAAATATCAAATTTTCTTTGACCCGATATCTCTCTCGTATCACGGCATCTACTTTCTTGTTTCTAGAAGTTCAATATATGAAATTTCATAGTCAACAGAAAAATCTTGTGGATAGGGTTGAGTGGACTGCCCCCCCGTCCATTGATTCTGTATTCGGGGTGGCCATTTCGGTTATTTGCTTAATAACCGAACGGTTGAGAAAGTTGAATAACCGTTCGGGTTCGGTTCGGTTTGGTTAATAACTGAATAACCGCGGTTAACCGAACTATTATTGAGTTTTTTTAATATTTTAATTTTTATCCTCATTATTATTAGTATTATTTTCTTATACTTCACTTTTAACTTTATAAAATTTTGACATAAATATATTTTTATTGCTGGTGTGTTCTCTCATCATCATTTTTGTTGAAGTACTGTAATCTACAATTAATTTTATTCATTTTTGTCAACTTTTTATTTCACTGTTTTTAATTTACTCTAAACCCTAAACCAGTCCTAAATTCTAAGTTTTAAAAGGATTAAAACTCATAATTAATTTAAAGATCAGAATTCGGAAGTTATTTTATAAGATTTTTCAAATGATTGATTAATTAAACACATAATAAATTCGACCAGTGATTGAGTGGAAAAGTCAGTCAGTCGTCTTCTTCCCTCATCTTTATCTTCGCAAAGAAGCAAACGGCAATTCCAACGTTTGCAGTGAAAACAGAGCACGCCATTAGGGCTCGATATAAGACACAGTTCCATTACTCCGGAGACCAGAAGCAGCGAAAATGGCGATCTTCCTCTCTTTCCTCTGGCTCTTTCTCCTTACCCTTTTACCGTTTACCCTTTTCAAGAAGATCAGACACTTCGGAACGAAGCTTCCTCCCGGCCCTCCGAAGCTTCCGATCATCGGAAACTTGCATCAGATCGGAGAAACGGAGTTGCCCCACAGAACTCTTGCCAATCTCTCCGAGAAATACGGACCGGTGATGCTTCTCCGATTAGGGTTCGAACCATTGGTCGTGATCTCGTCGAGTGAAGGAGCTGAACAAGTGCTCAAGACCCATGACGCGGACTGTTGCACACGACCAAAGCTGTTCGGGACACGGAAGCTCTCTCATAACTATCGGGATATCGGTGTCACTCCGTACGGGGAAGGATGGAGAGAGAGGCGGAAACTGGCGGTTCGCGAGGTTTTCAGCGTGAGAAAGGTGCAGTCCTTCAGGTGCATCAGAGAGGAAGAGTGTAACTTGTTGGTCAAGGAACTGACCGAATCAGCTTCGAGGCAATCTCCTGTGAACTTGAGCAAAACCCTTTTCTGGTACACGGCCGGCATCATATTCAAGGCTGCCTTTGGGCAGGATTTCCACCAGAGCAAGATCATCGACAAGGACAGGATGGAGCAACTCATCTTCGAGGCGGAGACAGTTTTCGCCAGTTTGAGTTTCTCTGATTTCTTCCCCGCCGGTGTCGGATGGGCCATCGACTGGCTGAGAGGGCAACATAAGAGAATGGACGAGGTTTTCGTCGAGATGAACACTTTTTTCCAGAAACTGATTGATGAGCATCTGAACCCAGAACGAACACCGCGAGACCAGAGAGACATCATTGATGTGATGCTGACGATGATTCAAAACCAGCGCAAAGACGAGTCTTCCACATTCACTGTGGATAACATCAAGGCTATACTCGTGGTAAGCCATCTCTAATATATATATAATATCTCTGTACATGAATGTATATACCAATCTCATGTCATAAAGCTTCTAACTTTGATGTGATCAGAACTTATTCCTCGCCGGAATAGACACGAGTGCGATCACCATGATATGGGCGATGACAGAGCTCGTGAGAAAGCCGACTCTCATGAAGAAAGTACAAGACGAGATCCGAGGTTGTATTGGCAAGAAGGAAAGTATCAGCGAAGAAGATGCGGATAAAGTTCAGTACTTGAAGCTTGTACTCAAAGAGACCCTAAGGCTGCACCCACCAGCTCCGCTATTGCTTCCAAGAGAAACAATGTCTCCGATCAAGATTCAAGGCTACGACATACCCGCAAAGACGCGCCTCCAGATCAACGTTTGGGCGATAGCCCGGGATCCGAAACACTGGAAAAACCCTAATGAGTTCATCCCGGAGAGGTTTATAGACAGCTCTGTGGATTTCAGGGGACAGCACTTCGAGTTCTTACCGTTTGGATCTGGTCGGAGGATGTGTCCTGGTATGAACCTGGGCATGTCTGCTGTCGAATTGGGATTACTGAACTTGCTTTATTTCTTTGATTGGAAACTGCCTGAAGGAACGACGGAGAAGGACATAGATGTTGAAGAAGCTGGCACTCTTACCATTGTCAAGAAAGTGCCTCTCCAACTTGTTCCTGTTCTACACCATTGATGTCCAAAAAAACCAGTTTGAGTTTTTTTTTTCTTCTGTTGTTGGTATGAATAGTTGGATGTGTCTTGTAACTTAGTAAATCATCACACTTTCAAATAAAATGAATTTTGTTGGTGAACTTATGAATTGTAACTCAGTAATCATCATACTACGTCGTACGGTACTGAAGTGAAACTAGTAATGGGCTTTATGGGCCTATTAGATATAAAATAGTTATGGGCCATAAGCTTTACATTCTAGGTTTAAGGCCCAACTGGTTTTTTCCAACACCCAATTATGGGCTTCGAATTCCATATAGATTTTATTTATTTTTTTTATTGTTTGAGGTATATTTTAAAAAACTTTTAAGATCCCGAATTTATCCACACAAATGTATATTAGTACTCATATAATAATTTATCACATGATGAAATAGAAATATATATATATATATATTTCCCTCTTGGGTACTCGATAAACTACGTGTCCGTAAACACTTTGTAATAATTTATTTCATTTTCTGCTTTTGTTTCAAAACATAGGTGTTCTTTCCAACCATTTAGAGGATTACAAGTCGAATTCCCAACCTTTTGATATAGATGTTCTTTTAAAACATAGGGCGCGCTAACTGACAGTTGTAACCGACAGGCGACAGGTGAGCGGGTAACGAGTCGAACCTCCAATCTTTTGATGTATTGACCATGCCTAACTCATCTGGGGTTTTCCCTGCATAGTCTGTAATAGATTTGTTAAAATAGTCATATAAAAAAAAGATTTGTTAAAAAAATCTTATTATTGTGTTGTGGTGATACGATATGAATGAAATATGGTATCACCATGAAACCTGATGATGAATCTTAATGTCTTGATTTGGGTCCCACATTGTGTTTTTCCACACATCTTTCACCGTCCGCTCCCCTGTTCCAATCAAACGGTCCAGATTCATCACCCACTTCCCCATCATTATGGTAACAGGAATATCCAATAAAAATTTATCAGACTTTATAAATAAATAAATAAATAGTTTTTCCGAAACTATCATGTTTATTCGAAAACATTGACTGTTAATTGAGTGATAGAATCAGTCAACTAAATTTATACATGTGTTAAGGCCAAATCAATATAATATACAAATATGCCACGTCAACAGTTCACGTCACATTTGAAACAATGGATTCCATGATTCTATTAGTTGATTAATGCCTGTCAACCGTTACAGAGTATATACACATATATATATATATATATTAATATTGGCAAAGTTTGTGTATTTGGTTAGAACTTAGAAGTAAAAAAATATTTAAATATTTATCTGGAATATCGTATAAAATCCGTCTTTTTATAGATATTAAAATTAAAATGACCAAAGCAGTAATTAATATAGGAGATTATTTCCCAAAGAGAATGCACAATTCTTGACAACAGAAAATTGGAATTCCATGTCAATATGTAAATTATATAAGAAATGGCTTATGAGATTAAAAGAAACCCAAAACCCAAAACCAAAAATTGCATATAATTAAGATGAAAAAAAAACTCCAAAAAAGCCTAACATATATATCATATAAGAAAGGAACCAAGAAAACAACTAATAAGATCATGTTCATGCCGGTCCACGTGGCAATACATTGAGAGTCAGGTTGGGCGGAGAAGGGAGGGATTCGAGCCACCGAGGAAGTACGAACTGAGACAAGAACTCCAATCTCCAAGGTTTGGACGATATACGTTGGCATGTACCGTACGGTGTTCTCATGTTAAATGAAACCATGATCTCCGCATTAGGGCTCCACATGTAGATGACATCCGTCTCGAAAGGGTGCATTGCCTTTGGGACCCACTCTAAACACGTCGTGTTCATGTCCCACATCATTACCCAGTCATCGCTCCCGTTGCTCTTCTTCCAAACCCTAACTCTAGGGTTTCCGTTTTCTCTCAGCATGCGTATGTGCATTAGAAATCCACCCGAGGTTGTGAGGAAGTTGTGGCGGCATGAGATGGGAGGTTGATGATCGGGTAAAGATATGGTTCGAACCCGATCGGCTTCTGATCCATCGGCGTAGAGATCGAGACTTATAATGGCCTGGTCGATACGGTTCAGTTCCGCATGAGAGAGCATACTCGCTTGTAACCAATACAGACTTCCGTTCAGATTAACCGGGTCGAAGTTCACTATGAAATCAACGGCACGAGGGCATTGGATCTTCTCGATAGTCCATTCGCCCGTCTCTGATGAATATATCCGAACATCGGAACTCGTCGGTTTCGCGACGAAGACAGTCTCCATCCTAACCACTTTGTAGCCAGAGACCACGCCGTTCTCCACGCGCGTGACGAGTCCCGAGATCTTGAAGTGATGGTCTTCCTGATGAGAAGGAGGGATCTCGACCCATTGTCGTAGAACAGGGTTAGACACGTAATACGCGTGGGATCCGGACAAGGGCTTCACGGACAACAAGACCAAGCCGTCCGTACAAGCCACGACCTTAACCTTTCGGATCTTTTGTCTTGTAGCTTGAAGCTCAGGCTTCTCATCGTCCTCCTGATCCTTGAATCTGATCAGATCCCTTACGAAAGACGAAGTATAAGAACCCAGAGACCGAGAAAGGCAGTGTCCGTCGCGTCCGCAGTGGGATACGACCTCGTTCATGGAGCCATCGCCTTTGGAAACTAGCGACCAAGCAGATGACGATAAATCATGGTTTGTGGAATGGAAGAGACGGCGAAAGTGGGCCGATTCAATGAGCGATTTCCATTCTCTGCAAACCAGTTTGAACCTAACGATGTCTCTGAAGGATGAATTCGCAAGTATTCCGGCGAGTACCTCCTCCGGAAGATCCATCTTCTGCCGATATTTTCCTTTGCGGGAGTTTTAATTTGATTTAGATTAGTGCACTAGGGTTTAATATTATGGGGAAAATATATCTTACAGTAAAAAAAAATTGGTAATATCTGTTTTCGGGAAAGATTTCGTGTTTCTTATTTTGATCGCCAAAAAACCATGTAACGTGTTTTCCACTTGAATTTACGTCTACGGGATATTACCAAATCTTGTTAAAGATATTACCAAATATTTTCATTTATCTTTAGTTGGGACCAAATCTAGTTAAATGTTAAAACAGATCTAAAGCCAGCTCCTTAGTTCCTAAATGGGGTAAATTTTATTTTATTTGGTTAGACAAAGATATTTTGATTTGGACAAAGATACCGTGATATATACACGATCACATATCAAATATGATTAAAATGTTAACTTGTCATATAGAATGTCAGAATTATATATTTAGAAATGATAAAGATTATAAAAATTGAGTTTATTTTTTATTGAAAAATAAAATTAATATTTTATTTGATAAAAAATAAAGTTTAGGTTATATTTTATTAAAATTTAAAAGTTTTTTTTAGAATTTTCTATAAATAAATTGAAGTAAAAAAAAAAAATCGCTTTACCTATCTTTCATTGTTATTGCGTTCGATTATTTAAATTGACCAAAAGGGGTTTTGAGGTCAAAATTACAAAGAAGCCAAGACTAATTAAGAATAAACCAAATCTGAAGCCAGGCCCCTGGTTTCTTTCTCTATCGGATAAAATTTACACCAAAGGAGACGACTTTCCTCTGATCTCGACAAGGGTTTCGTTGAATTTATCGGATTTCTCAGCAGATTCGGGGAAATTCCGATTTTTAATTTCGCTTTTGTGTTTAATCGACAAGAGAGGTCTTGAAGAGAGAGAGAGATGCAGAGAAATCCGTGGGAGCTTGTCTGAAACTCTTTTTAAGTTCCGTTGACGAAGAGCTCGGTAGCGGAAGCCAAAGTAAGCAAGCGTAGGTTTTTCTTTCCTGGGTTTTATTTTGATCATCGATGCGAGGGAAATCCATCCAGATCTAGGGGATTCAGGGCTGTGATTATTGTTCTCGTTGCATCTTTTTCGTGGAACTTGTCTGGTAGATCTGTTTTTCCTCGCTTTTGTAAGAACATTGCGTTATAGATTTAGCTACTCAGATGATGTTTTGTCGGTTTTCGAGCCTTTTGGGTTGTAAATATCCTCTTCATTGTACAAGTTGACCACAAAATTCATATGTAATCCGATTCAATCGATCTATCTGTATATGTTTTACTCCACATCTTCCTTGTTTCTGTAGCTGGTCGGAAAAAAAGATCTGTTCATATGTCGAGCAGCATCCGGGATTTACTCTCTGTAAGCTAGGTTTGTGGTGCCTTTTTTTGTAGTTGATGATAATCAAGAGTCATGATTTGTATATGTACGCTTATTTTCATGAATATATCAGCGGCTTGTGAAGAAGCTTCGTGTAACTGAATAAGCAGATTGTTGATTTTTTGTGTAAAAGATGTGTTGTGTTCTTCGTGTAAAAACCGGGTAGTTTATAAATTGGGTTTGTCTTGTGTTTATATAGAGCAGTTTCCTGTGGGTAGACATAAAGGTGAATATGTTTTTTATTCTTCTTGTATTTTCTGGCCAGTTTGTATGAATCCAATGTCTGAAGAAAACGTAGACTATGGGAGTAATCAGAAGATACACCACCAAGGAAGCGGAACTATACCTGCCCTGGTGGATGAAGAACTGATGGGAGAAGATGATGAGTATGATGATCTGTATAGTGATGTTAATGTCGGTGAGAATTTCTTCCAAGCACATCAGCCTCAAACAGCGGCACAAGGGAGTGGTACGGGTAATGGAGGTCTCCAGGCTCAGAGAGGCAATATTGCAGAGCCAAGAATGTCGGCTGGGCCCCCATCTAGATCCAATGTTCCTGGAGGTTCAGTTGAGGGGAAGTATCAAAATGATGGGGGGCCTATGGCTGTCAATGGACGAGAAATAAGATCGGAATTCTATCCACAAGCATCTTCTGTTGGATCAAAGGCTTTGAATGATGGTGCCCAAACCAACAAACCGGTTCCACAGGGATCAATGTCGGTTGTGTTAAACGCCCCTGATTTATCGAGGAAAACAGTCAATGAGCCTGAACCTGCTCAGAACTCGTATGGAGCCACTCCTCAAGCTTCTCATCAGATTCCTGTTAACCAGATGAGTGGGAATCCAAATGCTAATCATGCACTGGTGAACAAAGGTCTGATACAGCCTCCTCCTGTGGAGAATGGTAATACCATGCTTTTTGTGGGGGAGCTGCACTGGTGGACCACAGATGCGGAACTCGAGAGCATTCTTTCTCAGTATGGGAGAGTGAAAGAGATCAAGTTCTTCGACGAGAGAGCAAGTGGAAAATCTAAAGGTTATTGTCAGGTTGAGTTTTATGAAGCAGCTGCTGCAGCTGCTTGCAAAGAGGGAATGAATGGTTACATTTTCAATGGTAGAGCTTGTGTTGTGGCCTTTGCTTCTCCCGAAACGCTGAAGCAGATGGGAGCTAATTTTACGGGCAGGAACCAGGGGCAAAATCAGCTTCAGAACAGAAGGCCTCTGAATGAGGGAATGGGAAGAGGCAACAACATGAATATGCAAAGTGGAGGGGATGGTGGTGGAAGGAATTATGGGAGGGGTGGATTTGGACGTGGTGGCCAGGGAATGAACAACCGTGGAGGTCATTGGGGTGGTGGCGCAATGCGGGGTAGAGGCATGAACAACAACATGGGTGGCGGCAATGCAGCCGGGATAGGAAATGGTCCCTACGGGCCAGGCCTGGCTGGTCATGCATTTGGTGGTCCTGCTGCTGGTATGATGCATCCACAGGGTATGATGGGAGCTGGGTTCGATCCTACATTCATGGGTCGAGGAGGTGGTTTCGGAGGGTTTTCAGGTCTAGCTTTCCCGGGCATGCCTCCGCCTTTTCCGGGTGTCAATCCCGTGGGAATGGTCGGGGTGGCACCTCATGTGAACCCCGCTTTCTTTGGCAGGGGAATGGGCGCCACTGGGATGGGAATGATGGGTTCCATGGGAATGGATGCATCTCATGCCGGGATGTGGAATGATGCCAGTGGATACGTAGGTGAGGACGGTGGTTCAGAGTATGGTTATGAAGACGAAAACCAGGAGAAAGATGTGAAACCGAATGCTGCAGCATCATCCAGGGATAAAGAACGGGCTCCTGAGCGTGACTGGACAGAGAACAGCGACAGAAGGCATCGCGAAGAAAGGGAGCACAAGGGCCACAGATACCATGAAGAGAGAGATGGTCACCGTGAAAATCGGCAGAGAGACCGGGACTCTGGCTATGAGGATGACTGGGACAGAGGTCAGTCTTCCTCGAAATCTCGAAGCAGGTCGAGAATGGGGGAAGACGATCATAGGTCCAGGTCAAGAGACGCGGACTACGGAAAGAGGAGACGATCAGATTGAAGAGGAAGAGAACTCTCCACGGTAATCTTTCTACTCATTTATACTTTGCATTGTGATGGCATCTTTTATCCAGTAATCTCTCTGGGAATAGTAAGACTGTACTGCCTCTGTCTAAACACAAGTATTTGCTTGATCTACTGTAATCTACTTGTCATGTATGTGGTGCTGTGCTTTTATACACTCCATCTGTTACGGAACAATCAGCGGATTGGCCAGCCAAAGTTCCTGTTTGAGAACTGCATCTGTTCTTCTTGCAGAACACACTTGTGGATAAGACAGAGAGTTGCTTGTGATTTCTGGTATTGGTAATGGATGAACCCTGTGTTCCTCTCCTCTGTGATGATGTTGTAGATTTTTTTTTTTCCCGTTTCAAAGTTTAGCATTCCCATTCATTGTCTTCTCTTGGTTCTTTCAGATGTTCACATTTCTTCTTCCCCTTCATCTCCCAAACACACAAGAAAATCCAATCTTTGTGATCCGTTTCCCATCAGAACCAAAGATCCGTTTCGCATGTTCATCAAATCCTCCATGATTAGTGTCAATAAACCTTAAAATTCATATACATTTTTCCAAAAGATTCGTGTTCTCAATTGGCGTGGCCTGGAGTTTCTGTACGTTTAACCTCATATAACACACTGACCAACAGATCAAAGATTGAATCTGAAGTTTCTTTCTATTACATTACACACTTGGCAAAGACATCAATCACGGAGGAGGAATTCGATAGGAACGATCAAACATCTTTAGTATAAACAAGTTGCCCTTGTCACCTCTTGATACCCTGCCAACCAATAATCTCAAACAGGCATGATCTATGTAATGATTCATAGAGCACATCAGGTTAAAAAAAAAAAATTACTGACCGTAGCTCCTCGTCCAGGTAGGTGATCTCCAGTTCACCACGAGCTGTATCAGGCGCATTTACAGGGATCTGGAAGGTGCATCAACACTCAACAGTCAGATCATCATTCCGAGGAGAGAAGACAAAGCACAAGCTGATTGATATTCTGAATTAGAACATTGCACTTCATTTAAAGATTCCCTTATTAGACTCTTTACAAGGTTTTGCAGCTAGTAATGGGTTTAAGTAAAAGACTTGATTGAACCTCCTACCATACAGCCAAACTTAGACATGGCTCTAGAAGGGCCAGACAATGATTGAAAGCAATAATCACTTAGATGACTTTAGTTTGGTTATCATCAACCACATTGGCTGAGAGGTGTGTCAGGAAAAAAAAAGGTCTCTCCTTTATTGTTATCTGTATATCTTACCGAACCTGCAGGACGATGTTATAAAGACTAAATGCAGTTCAAGGATGTCTGTGTTTTAGTCGCAGTGAATAGAGCTTTGAAGAGCCAAAAAACGCGAGTTGGGGGGTACTTACAAGGCCTAGAATTCTAAACCTTTCGAACTTTACAGCAACCTTCCTCGGATTGAGGGGCTTCAAGTTTCCAATTACCTACAAAATTGTAGTTTGCGTTCGTTAGGGACGGTTTATAGACCATCAAATTTCCAATACATGAGCCATTAGCCGACAACTACAATGAATGCAGTAACAAGCTACAGGTTCCCAGACTAAAAAGAAAGAAACTGGTCTACGGTCTTGCACAACCCATGTGAATAGTCCAGTAAGCAGTCAGTGGGGGAATTGGTTGAAACTTTACCGAATTGAAGAATGGAAAAGTCTCCATATTTTGCACCTTTAACGTATCTGCATCAATAGCTTGGTAGTTTGTTATCGACCTTAAGAGCCTTGGTTTCTGCCACAGGGTGAAATAACCAGAATCAAATGAATGGTAACAAGCCAACACACAAATACCACAACATTGTTTAAACACCAGAGATCGGGGAAGATCTCGTTTTTGACCTTTAACTGCAGAATGGAGACAGAGGTCGTATAAATGAGCTCCCATTTTCCATTGAGTAAGTCAGATTTCAGAGGTGCCTTAGTAGGATTAACCGCTTCCAGCTTTTGCGCTATCTGTCCAAACATTAACAGAGGAACAATAATGAGAATTGAGAACACGAAGCTGGAGAGTCCAGTGACACCCTATAAACAGGCATTATCTTATGATATGTCTGATTAACAAGAACAACCTTGTACATTGTATTCTCCATATCAATCCTCAAGCGCAAACATGTGTTACTAACATGAACACAGTTGCTGATTGATTTGACTAATGAAACTGTTCTCAAGGTTCTGGATTGTAACAGATTGGTCCTCCAATCGATACTTTACGATCAGAAAGCTTCAAACTAATTCTAAGACTCATCAATGGCTGTAAAATCCTTAGACGGTCTTGTTCCACAGTCTATCATATCAGGCTACACTATGAATCAGAAGGAAAGAACCTGATCAACACGGAGCTGGTCATTGGGCGTGGCAGAGGCGCCGCGGTTGAGAGGGGCAATGGCGTCGAAAAGGTCTTGCTTGAGCTGCTTAAGCTTCGCATCTCGGCCTCCTTTCGTCAGAAACGCCGGCGGGAAAGTAAAAGCGGCTCGAGTTTTCAGCCTCTTGCGGTCATCATCGGTTGGGAGACTGCGTTGTAATCTAGTCGGCAAAGCGGACAGAGTGGACTGTTTCCCGAGACTGCGTGAGAAATGATGCCCTGAGACAGGAGGCACGGGAATCTCGCTCTTGAAGCATGTGGGCAACGCCATGGGACCAAGATCAGAAACCTTGTGCGATTCTTCTGGGTTGATGGAGACGATCCCCGATCACCCTTCAAGACTGTTGAAGAAATCTTTGGTCTGCTGACGCAGAGAAGAGAAAGCCTTTTTCTCACCATGGCCGATAAGATTATTTTTCTCTTGTGAACGTAAAACGAGAGGCCCCAGTGTCCCGGCAGAATGAGCACAAGGAGCTCAAAAGTCCTTTTCGTCCACCAATACGGCGTCGTTTCAGCCCTTTTGCATTTCAACAAATCCAACGAAGCAACGTTCTCCTTCGGCCGAGCCATGTTTACATTTACATGAACAGCCCCGTTTTCCTCGTAAGTTCTTTTCTTCTAATTTAAAAGTTTATATATTCATTTATATTTTTTAACCGCATTCTTAAACAAAATTTAATATTAAAGCCATCGATATCACAGATTTAATGTAATATATACTATTATCTATTATTCATATTAATTATGCCAAATATAATCAATGTCTAGCATAAATAGATTAATAAAATAATTAGCAGTAATGTCTCGTATCCCTACGAGATAATAACGCTAGCCTTCTTGTGGGATAAAAAAAATTCAAAACGGAACTCAATGCCGAGAAAATATTTATATGCAAATTATTTGGAGGGTATTTCCGTTTGTATACCTATTTGGGACCTCTAAAATATTCTCGAGGACCCTATTATATACACACGTATAGTAACAGGATCGCGGATACCGGAATTATATGTCAGATATTCGGGATTTTTTAGTATACCCAAATCCCAATTATATATTTTAAAATCCAAACCCAAATATCTTACTCGTAAAAACACCTTTTGATTAAAAATTCACAAACATAGTTTATTATAAAATTATTGATAAATATTTATATCCAAATGCATAAATCATTGATAAATATATTTGCAAGTTTCTAATAATCAAAGGGAATAATAGTTTTTTATTATTATTATTTAGATGCCTGCGCATAATTATCCGATCTAAAAATAGCAATTCGAACCTAAACCTGAAATTCTGGTTTTTCGTGTTAGACATTGAAACGAGATCTCTGTTAGAAAACTAATAAGGAACAACATCATACACATCGATATCAACGTACAAATGTAAACTTTTAGATCGTTTGGAAAAAAACAATAATATGAAATACACATACATACCCGGTAAGATGACGACATCCGATCATCCTGTCTCCAACCTGTCAAACAACAATAACAACAACATCGCATCATTCCCAAGTTTATTTGGGGTCGGCTTCGGCCGTATGAATCCTTCTTCTCCACTCATTTCGATCCCAGGTTAACTCTTTCGGAATTTGCAACACTTCCAAATCCAACCTGTCAAAACACGTATGAAATAGTAGAGAACCGAATATGACTTCAAGGCGTGACGAACACTTTTCTAAAATCGTTATTCCATCCTTATCGAGTAAATGAGATTACAGTTATACACGTTTGAGATACAATGAAGTAACAATGGTTTCGATTGATCCTTTTGATAATCATCAACAGAAACTTGTTTATCCTAAAACAAAAAAAACCCTTGTACATAGTTTTCTACAAAAAAAACTATCCACAAGAACACTCAAACATCTCACAAAAACACTTGGATCTTGTCACAAATCCGAATTTTTCTATTCTTCTTCGTGTTATATGGCATGTGTTTATAAACACCAAAACGTTGAAAAGACATGAAAACTCGGAAGTTTTTCTCGACCAGTTGCGACTTTTCGTTTAAACAATCGCTTAGAAAAAACGGACTATCCGCCCGTTTATTAGAGCTTCTGCCTATTTATTTGAGCTATATTCCTCAGAAAAAACAGGCTACTCACCCACATTTTCGAACTGCCCTCCCATTTTTCTGAGATCGCTTTTCACGTTTTAAACCAAACATAACATTTTCCGACGAATCATAACACTTTAAACAAAATCACAACACGTCTCTTACAAGTATTTTACTCCACCATACTCGTAATATGCGTACATCATGAATCCCATGAGAGATTAAAACCAATCAACTGTTTACTCTAAAATACCAACAATCATTCGCTATTTTAGAGTAAACAACAAATGATTGAAAAAATCAAGTGTTTTTCAAACATTCCAATTTTGTGCATAAGTGAAACTAGTGATGTCAAAATGAGCCCGACTCGCGAGCTGGCTCGTGGTTGGCTCGTTTTTTAACGAGCTGGGCTGAAAAAATAAAAGACCAAATAAAAACGGGCCGAACGAGCCAGCTCGCGAC